GCACACACACACACATACACAGGTAACCCCACAGACAGCCTTAGCTACTGAGCAAGGTGATGGGTAACCTGGAGCTTGAAGGAATGTACTAAAACGCTGAAACAATCTCAAAGCAAGAATTTCTGGAGATGAGATTTTGCTGGGGGCACATCTCTTTTTTTATTGGTTTTTAAAAATACATATTATTTATCTAAGTATATGTCTGCATGGCTTTTTATTGTTTTTATTAATATATATTTTTCTGCTCCCCTCCCTTCCTCTTCTATCCCCTTCTACCCTTTCTCATGATCCCCATTCTCCTAGTTTACTCAGAAGATCTTGTCTTTCTACTTCCCATGTAGATCCATGTATGTCTTTCTTAGGGTCCTCATTGTTGTCTAGGTTCTCTGGGATTGTGAACTGTAAGCTGGGTTTTCTTTGCTTTATGTCTAAAAGCCACTAATGAGTGAGTACATATGATATTTGTCTTTCTGGGTCTGGGTTACCTCACTCAATATATGTTTTCTAGGTCCATCCATTTGACCGCAAATTTCAAGATGTCATTTTTTTTTTCCTTCTGCTCCATTGTGTAAATGTACCACATTTTCCTTATCCATTCTTCGGTCAAGGAGCATTTAAGTTGTTTCCAGGTTCTGGCTATGACAAACAAAGCTGCTATGAACATGGTTGAACACATGTCCTTGTGGGGCAATTGAGCATCCTTTGGGTATATACCCATGTAGCTGAATGCATAAAAGGGGATGAAGACACAAATTGAATAATCCCAAGGCAACTCCTAAAGAATCCAGTTATTATTCTTTCTTGTAAGGGGGAAACTCACAGAACAGGAACAAGAAGTCCAGCTTCAAGGTGTATAATGTGGGAACAAGAGAATGAGAGGTGGGCAGATTGACAGTTTTCTCTGGGTACCCAAAAGGTCACACCCTAACCTGGTCCAGCCTCTTAAAGGTCATTGGCTGAAGGAGGTTCCCCACCATACCCAAAAGTGGTATTGCTGGGTCTTGAGGTAGGTTGTTTCCTAATTTTCTGAGAAATCGCCACACTGACATCCAAAGGGGCTGTACCAGCTTGCATTCCCACTAACAATGCAGAAGTGTTCCCTTTTCCCCACAACCTCTCCAGCATAAGTTGTCATCAGTGTTTTTGATCTTGGTCATTCTTACAGGTGTACGAAGTTGTTTTGACTTGCATTTCTCTGATGGCTAAGGATGCTGAGCATTTCCTTAAGTGTCTTTCAACCATTTTAGATTCCTCTGTTGAGAGTTCTCTGTTTAGGTCTGCACCCCATTTTTTAAAATCGGATTATTTGTTCTTTTGATGTCCACTTTCTTGAGTTTTTTGTATATTTTGGAGATCAGACCTCTGTCTGATGTGGTATTGGTGAAGATCTTTACCCATTCTATAGACTGTAGACTGTGGTTTTGTCTTCCTAGCGTTCTCTCTCTCTCTGCCCAGAAGTCCCACCCGAGTGCTAGGACTAAAGGCATGCGCCACCACCACCTGGCTATGTTCAGCCTTTATTACACCAATCACAGCAGTACATCTTCATATAGTGTACAAACATCCCACGGCAGATGTACATATATGTGTGCGTGTTGAGTTTGTGTGTACCACATGTGTATAGAAACCCAAGGAGGCCAGAAAAGGTCACCAAATCTCTTAGAATTGGAATTACAGATGCTCGGAAGCTAATTCAGGTCCTCTGTGTGTATGCATGTATGCGTATGTGCACGTGTGTGTGTGTGTGTGTGTATGTACACTGTGTGTGTGTGTGTGTGTATACTCTTGGTGTCAAAGGCTGTCAATTTTCATGGCTGGAGCTAAAGGGGGTTTATAAGCTGTTCAACATGGAAAACATACGCTGTGTACATACACAATATTAATAAATAAAAATGTAAAATACTTTTTCTCTGTCTCCTGACGTCTACTGTTATGCAAACAGCCAGATCACACTCCCACCACTACCACAGCTTTCCTGTGCCATAGACCAGACGCTTGAATTCACAAGTCAAATAATTCTTCCACCCAGACTCTCAGAAATCAAGATGGAGAGGCAGGAGGACCAAGAGGTCAAGGCCAGTCTAGGCTATGTAACAAGGGTCTGTCTTGAAAACAAAATACCAGGCTGGAGAGATGGTTCAGCAGTTGCAAACCCGGGCTGCCCTTCTAGAGGGGTTGGGTTCAGTTCCTAGCACTCACAGGACGACTGACAACCATCTGTAACTCCAGTCTGGAGGAATCTGACACCTTCTCCTGGACTCCTGGGGCACCACATAGGCAGATGATGCACAGACATATATGTAGACAAAATGACCATATAAATAAATCAATTAAAAAATCATCACCAAAACAAAACAAAACAACCCCCTCTCCAAATCCTTGTATGTAGTGAATATGCACAGTACGGTACTTTGTCCTCTGGGCAGGTCATCAGAGAATCTGTGGTTAGCAGCAAAACACCTTTGCCAGATGGGATTCATTAGCATTTGCCCAGAGAGGGAGGGGCGATCATCCAGGCTCATGTAGCCCCTCCCATCTCTGAGGATATACACGTGGTTAACAATTACTAGAGGCATAGGAGATACTCATGGTTGGGGCAGCTGCCCTTTAAGCGGTCCATGCTTGAATAGCCCCAATTAAATTCATTGGCTCACCTGGTTAAATGTGGATGGAAACATTTATTTGGTCTGCTGGTTGTTCTATCTGGGTGACTAGGAATGGACTCCCTGGGAAAAGTCATCCAGTGAAAATTGAAAATATTAATTCAGATATCAATGAAAGCAAAGAATCAATATTCGCAATCGGATGAAATTAGAGTACAGCGGCATGAAGCGTCTCCTCCGTGTCAGGCCCCACAAAGAATGTGGTTTCAAGGTTAATGTCCTACACCTCCACCAGAAGAATAAGTCGAAGCCCCCGTGTTAATAACCTGCTTCTGATGGGGCCGGTACACCTTGCACAACACTTGGATGCGTCCTCCCACGTAGAGACCAAACCGTTGGAGATAATCAGATAAACACTTATCACTCTGTAATCCAGGCTGACCTGGAACTCACAATCCTGCTCCCCGCCCCCCAAGTGCTGGGTCTGTAGGGGGTGCACCACCATGCCTAGCTGACAAACTTTTTCAGCTTAGCAGTTTTTATTCACATTTGTTAAATCAATTGTAACAGACTCACAATTAGAAGGGGTTTTTTTTGTTTATTTTTTTTCTCCAGTCCTCTCAGCACCGAGAAGATTCCAAGGTTTCAATAAATATTTTATTTGATCTTGCCTTTGACCTAGTGGAAAATGGTAGAGATTAATTTCTTCTTTGTCTATGTGGAAAAGAGAAACGCAATTGCTCCCAGAGAATGTAGGTCTTGAAGAAGCTAGAAGACAAATAAGGGTCAGGACTGGAGTTGAATTGAGGTAGGAAATATATATATATATATTATATATAATTGAGGTAGGAAATATATATATATGTACGTATATATATGTATATACGTACATATATATATATATTTAAAACCTCACACGGTAGCACAGGCTAGCCTGGAAGTCATGGTAATCCTCCTGCCCCAGCCTATCAAGTGCAGAATTTATAGGAGCTCAGATTGCAACCCTGAGACCTTTCAGTGGTTTTCCGTGCTGCAGACTGCAACGCACCGCGACGAGACCTTGGCAAGTCGTCTTGTGACTGCAGCGTGTGGGAGACTACGAATGAAACCGGGAAATAGTCAAGGTAGCAGACAGGTCAGCTGCGGTTCCCTTGCAAGGCCCCAGGCAAGCGCAGACCTGACGGGGAAGTCAAGCAAGACGCGAGGCTCCGCCCCGGGGTGTGCCCTCCGCCAGGCCCCGCCCCCAGACGCCCGCTGCGGCCGCGGAGACACCGGAAGGAGCGGCGGCTGCCG